CAGGTGTATCACCAGCTTGTACAGGTGTAGTAATGGGCAGGTGTATCACCTGCTTGTACAGGTGTAGTAATGAGCAGGTGTGAATTGGCCACTGAGTGTAACATATAATCGTATAATTAGACACACCCTGCAGTATGTCTGAGAGGCTCAATGAGTAACATGTTTATAAGACAAATAAGTTTGGATCTTTAACTACAGCCTGTTGTTGTTTATGTGCATATATGTAAATTGCAGTGAATTGTCTCGGTTCTTTCACATTATATCCATAAATCCTTACACTTACTCTGTTCGGAGTTGCAGTGAGGACTTGGACAGAACAGGGCACAAAGCTGGGGCAAGGCATGCAAGTTCCTCGTAGGGCACAGACGCACACATGCAACCACAGTCGTACACTACAGGAAATTTGGAGACACCACCTGCCTGTTTTTAGACAGTAGGAGGAAACATAGTGTACAGTTATGTGAAACTATCCTGTATTTGGTAGTATTGCTTGAAGGAGAGGTGACCTAATGCATGTTAGACATAATAATAGAAACACCACATGAAAATAACTAAATCACAATTACAAACGCAGTTAGAAAGGTGAGTCATTAGGCTGAATGCCATTTAACACTGTCTCAGCCAAACAAGTGGCCTGAAAATCAGTACTTCGATATTTGCGCTTTAAAAGCAACTAACAGTGGTCCAGAACAGCCAAATAGCGCCAAATTTGCAGATGCATTAGTTACAGAAACTGCAGAATTATTTAACTTGTCAAGGGAAAAGAGTTCCAAAAATCACAAAGATCAGTAATCAGAACAAGTCTAAACTCCCCGACGGGGACAGACAGACACTTGCAAGGATGGTAACTAAACCCCACAAAATTGCAGCCTCAGGAATGACCACAGAAATAAATTGGCACCTCTGTGATTCTGCAGTTAGCTTCCCAAAGCTGGTAGTTACGGTACAGCTGCTGACTGGAAGCTACTTGTGACCACAGCCAGTGCAGAAGGACACACAGCCTGGTGTAAGGAGCTTTCCAGGAGGTCCTGCCCTTATTGGTTAATTTATATATTATCAGGTTTCCCTTGTATGTAAATACTTTATATTTACCATGGGCAAAAGTATGTGGACACCCCTGTTAATTAGAGGAATTGCCTAATTGCCACACCTATGCAATCTCCTGAAATAAACATTAGCAGCAGAACATGTGGTTGTAGAGGAGAAGTTAGTGACTCGTCACAAGGCACTATCAAGTCAGTTTGCTGCATTCCTGCCCTACTAGAGTTGCCCTGGTCAGCCGCAAGTGAAGTGATTGTAAAGGTCAAAACATCTGGGAACAAGTTCAGCTGCAAAGTGGTAGAGGCTACACACACTGGCAAGAAGGGACCTGATCACCCAAGATCAATAACCAACATCAATAGCCAACCTGAATGGCAGCATATCCCACCAGCAATGTTCCAGCATCAAATGGAAAGCCGTCCCTGAAGAGTACAGGCTATTACAGCAGTAATGGGCCGACTGACTTCATAGTAATACCCTTATCCTGGAATATTCTGGAGTGTATAATAGTCCTTAATAATGTGAGTGAGTGCCCTGTGATGGGCTACATCAGCAGTCCCACACTAAGTTTCCCCCCAAGGGCTGAATTCTGTCAGTAACACAAAGCCAAGGTCCACTGCGTCTGGGGGGGGGGGGGGCCCCCCCCCCCCCC